GCCTGGGAGAGCAATGGAAGATGGTCCAAGTCCTTGGGTCCTTGCACCTGCGTGGGAGACCCAAAAGAAGCTCCTGGCTCCTGGCTTCAGATCGGTGCTGCTCAGGCCGTTGTGGCCATCTGGGGAGTGAACCAGGGGATGCAAGACCTCTCTCTGCCTCTGCTTCTCTGTAACCCTGCCTTTCAAATAAATATTTTTAAAAAAAAGAAAGAAAGAAATGTGTGAATGGGGACTCATGAAAGAGCACTGGCTTCCCTGTCTTTGCAGATGAAGACGGCAAGAATCAGAAAATCTGACTTAGGCAGCCTCCCTGTCCAGAGAAGCAGCCACAGAGACACAGTGGAGCTCCCAGAACTCCCAGGGAAGCAGATGGGGGCGGGGGGGAGACAAACAGTGGCCTTAGCCATTTGGCTCCTCTATCCTTCCCTTTCTTTTTTTTTTAAGATTTATTTATTTATTTAAAAGAGTTTCAGAGAGAGAGAGAGATCTTCTATCTGCTGCTTTACTCCCCAGATGGCCAAAATGACCAGGGCTGGGCCAGGCTGAATCAGGGAGCCAGGAGCCCCATCCAGGTCTCCTATATATGGGTGCAGGGGCCAAGCACGTGGACCATGTGCTGCAGCCTTCCCAAGGGCATTAGCAAGGAGCTGGATTAGAAGCAGAGCAAGGACTGGCATCGTGGTGCAGCGAGCTAAGCTGTGGTCTGCAGTGCCGGCATCCCATATGGGCACTGGTTCGAGTACCAGTGGCTCCTCTTCTGATCCAGCTCTCTGCTATGGCCTGGGAAAGCAGTGGAAGATGGCCCAAGTCCTTGGGCTCCTTGCACCCATGTGGGAGACCTGGAAGAAGCTCCTGGCTCCTGGTTCTGGCCTGGCCTAGCTCCAGCATTTGCAGCCATTTGGGGAGTGAACCAGCAACTAGAAGACCTCTCTCTGTGTCTCTAACTCTGACTTTGAAACAAATGAATAAATCTTTCAATATAAAAGTGGCCCTCAGAGCGCTGAGCAGGCTGTCAGGGTGGGAGCGGGGGTGGGGACTGATGGGGGGCCGTGCTGGGGGAGTGATAGCAGGTCGGACCCCTGGGAGGAAGGCAGGGGTCAAGGAGTGTCTTAGCCCTTTGGCCTCAGCAGCCTTGGGGCTCAGTTCTGAGACGGAAAAGCGGAGGACCCCCTGGATACCAGGAACCAGACTGGGAGAGCCAGATGGAATTCCTGGCTCCTGGCTCCTGGCTCTGGCCTGACCCAGCCCCAGCTGTTGCGTCTATTGGGGAGAGAAGCAGCAAATGAAAGATCTTCCTCTCTCTCTCTCATAAGTCTTTTTCTTTTTTAAGATTTGTTTATTTATTTGAAAGGCAGAGTTACAGAGAGGCAGAGGGAGAGAGAGGGAGGGAGGGAGGGAGAGGGGGAGAGAGAGAGAGAGAGAGAGAGAGAGAGAGAGAGAGAGAGAGAGAAGGATCTTTCATCCACTGGTTCACTCCCCAATTGGCGAGTGACCAGCAGATGGGGGCTTCGGGTTCTTGTCCAGACACAACCCACAGGAGTCAGGCAGAGCGCTGCGCACCCTCCCGCGGCGCCCTCAGAAGCTGTACCTGTCAGAATCCTGTGTAACACATGTGTCCCCCCAACTCCCCGACATCTCAAAGGAGATCAAAGCCAGCTCCCCGTTCTACACATGGAAGGAGGATCGGGCCTTGGGCCCTCAGCTGGGCCCAGCCCTTGGCTGGAGCCACTGAGGCTGCAGCCGGGCCTAGCCAACTGGGCCACTAACAATGCCAGTGTCTTCCATTGTACTCACTGTCGCTGGACGCCGTGGAGACCCCTCCCAGTGATGACAGTTGTGGATGCGGTCCCTGTGCGGTGTTTCGTGGTGGGCGGGGGTGGACGAAGGAGGGAGGATCATTGTCTGCTGTGTGTGTTTTAAGGACAAATTGGGTGAGAAATTGCTCCGGGCTGAGACGGCCTCGGGGCCCTGCTACTGTCTTTGCCCTTGGAGTTTCCCGAGACACAGAACCCCAGGGGCGTGGGTGCCTACAGAGTCCATAAGGGCAGGAATGAAGAGTTTGGGGACCAGAACCGGAGAGACACAGGTGACGGCAGGGGAAGGCCAGGGAGAGGCATCTGCGAGCCCTGGCATCACCCGGACAGGGTCAGTGCAGGAGGAAGAGTGTGCAGATTTGGGGGAGCCAGCCGCGGGGTCAGGGGTGGGACTGTCGCAGCCGGCGGGGGAGCAAGGGACATGGTGGGAGCATCCCCCCGGGGTCCTGGGCTGGGGGCTTGATCCCCAGCGTGGCATGGAGATGGTTAGACAGCTACATAGGGGTGCCAAGCTGGAAGTCCCCAGCCCCCATCTATAACACTCTCCTTCTACTTGTCAATCAAAACACCTCCTCCCCCTCTCCCAGGTTGCACCTGCTTCATCGCGGACTCAAGGGAGGACACCATGAAAATATACGAATCCTGAGCTCCACTTGTGAAGATGTCCAGGGGGCTTCTACCCAGAGAGACACCATCGCCACCCCAGACAGGAGGCAGGAACGGAAGGTCTCTCTCTCTCTCTCTCTCTCTCTCTCTCTCTGCCAGGAATCTGCTCTGCCTCCCCCTCCATTGCCCCTTCCCACTTCCAGCAACCCTCCTGCCCACTCATAAGGGATATTTCTCCATGTGGGGCAGCCCACGCCCGTGTGTGTGTGTGTGTTCACATGCTCGCTTGTTGAATAATCCTCATGGCTCTGTGCACCTTATCCACGTCTGCCCTCAGAATGCCTGTCTAGGTACCACACAAGAACCTGGAGGAACAACGGACAACCCCCATGCCCACATCAGCGGGACCTTGAAGAGGCGGACCTGGTGCCAAGATTGTGGGGTGCAGCCCCCCAGAAGGGATCCATGTAGCTCTTCTGGAACCCTGGTTTGTTGGGGGCAGGGTGTGGCGGGCTGGGGGTTATAAAAAAAGAACAACCCCTCCCTGCCCCAACCCTGTTCTCTGGTTCCCGTCCCCCTCCCACCCACCCCCCGTGATGCCAGCCCCCTAGGCCGTCCCCAGAGCCAAGCTGACACCATGCCGCAGCCCTGACGTTCCAGCACGCTTGCTAAGTAAGCCTCTCTTTATTAAGCACCAAGCTTCTGGGATTTTGCGAGCACAATGGAAAACTGACTCACCCCTTCATGCAGGGTGGGCAGGGGGGAGTTCTTCCTCCAGGGAGGGCGTAGGCTAACTCTGGGCTCTGAACAGCAGCTGAGCAGGTCTCAAGGCCCCAGACGCAGCGGCCAAGCCCTTGCATGTCTGCATGCCAGCCCCCGGCTTCTGGGAGAACTGCTGGGGTCCAGGCAGCCTGTGGGACAGCTGGCCTCCAGCTTGTGAGGCCTGGCTGCAGCCCTGGGGCTGAACTCTGAGACTCCTGGTCTCTGTGCTCAGCGTCTCACCAGGCGGGAGTTCTGGGTGCACAAAGTCTGCATGCCATGGGAGCCCAGGCCAGCAACTGGAGACAGCCATGGCCAGGGAAGGCTGGGCCGGAGGATGACAGCAGTGGACCCCTGAATTCCCTTGCCCGGGGGTGGGGGCGGGGGCAGTAGGAGTGAGCAGGAGAGGTGAGGACCCACCTGTTCTGTTCCTGGGAGGTGCGAGCCTCGGTTGCGAAGCCCTCGAAGGCCACAAGCCCAGGGATCTCGCCGGGAGCTCCTGAAACCCCCAATTCTTGTTGCTGCAGCCCTCCAAAGGATGGTAAAGACAAAGGGCCCTTGGGGGAAAGGGTTCCAGGTGCACCCCCAGTGGAAGACACACCCCCCCTCCCCGTATCCACAACGTGCCCGTGACACCACTCCACAGGGACACGTGGGGGAAGGGTGCAGGTGCACCCCAGTGGAGACACACCCCCCTCCCGTATCCACAACGTGCCCGTGACACCACTCCACAGGGACACGTGGGGGGGAAGGGTGCAGGTACACCCCCAGTGGAGACACACACACCCCTCCCGTATCCACAGCGTGCCCGTGACACCACTCCACAGGGACACGTGGGGGGAAGGGTGCAGGTACACCCCCAGTGGAGACACACACACCCCTCCCGTATCCACAGCGTGCCCGTGACACCACTCCACGGGGACATGTGGGGGGGAAGGGTGCAGGTACACCCCAGTGGAGACACACACCCCTCCCGTATCCACAACGTGCCCGTGACACCACTCCACAGGGACACGTTGGGGGAAGGGTGCAGGTGCACCCCCAGTGGAGACACACACACCCCTCCCGTATCCACAACGTGCCCGTGACACCACTCCACAGGGACACGTGGGGGAAAGGGTGCAGGTGCACCCCAGTGGAGACACACACCCCCTTCCCGTATCCACAACGTGCCCGTGACACCACTCCACAGGGACATGTGGGGGGGAAGGGTGCAGGTACACCCCCAGGGAAACACACCCCCCTCCCATATCCACAACATGCCCGTGACACCACTCCACAGGGACACATGGAGGGGAAGGGTGCAGGTGGACCCCAGTGGAGACACACACACCCCTCCCGTTGGAGAACGTCTGGTGACACCAGTCCAGCAGGGTGCATGATTATGCAACCCGCCACAGAAGCTCCAAGACAGGAATTCACATCTACATTGCGGGAAACGAAATAAAAACCTTGGGGTGGGGGGAGGCAGTGCTGTGGTGGTGTAGTGGGTAAAGCCGCCTCCTGCAGTGCCCATGTCCCATATGGACAGTGGTTCAAGTCCCAGCTGCTCCAATTCCTGTCCATCTCTGCCATGGCCTGGGAAAGCAGCAGAAGATGGCCCAAGTGCTTGGGCCCCTGCACCTGTGTGGGAGACCCGGAAGAAGCTCCTGGCTTTGGCCAGGCCCAGCCTTTGCTGTTACAGTCATTTGGGAATGAACCAGTGGATGGAAGACCTACCTCTCTCTCTCTCTCTCTCTCTCTCTCCCTCTCTCTCCCTTCCCTCTCTCCTCTCCCCTCTTTCTTTTTTTTTAAAGATTTTATTTATTTGAGAGGCAGACTTACAGACAGTGAGAGAGAGAGACAGAGAGAGAGGTCTTCCGTCTGTTGGTTCACTCCCCAAATGGCCGCAACCGCCAGAGCTGCGCCGATCCAAAGCCAGAAGCAAGATGCCCCTTCCAGTCTCCCATGTGGGAGCAGGGTCCCAAGGAGTTGGGCCATCTTCCACTGCTTTCCTAGGCCATAGCAGAGAGCTGGATTGGAAGAGGAGCAGCCGGGACTAGAACCGGCGCCCATATGGGATGCTGGTACTGCAGGCGAAGGATTAACCTACTGTGCCACAGCGTCGGCCCCTCTCCTCTTTTTGTATCTCTTTCTCTCTGACACCCTGCCTTTCAAATAAATAAATAATAGGGTTTTTTTAATTACTTTTGTTAGGACATACATGGAAGCAGAGGGAAAGGTATGAAGTTCAAGCCCAGCTCACGTCCTTGAAGTAGGTGCTGTCCCAGGCTCTGCCCCTTAACCACAGCTTTGTTTCCTGGTTTCCGTGGCCTGGAGTAAGCCCCAGGTGGAGAATATTCAACAGAAAACTCCAGAAATGAGCAAGGCACACTTTTTTTCTTCTAAGGCACAGATTTTTAGTGGCATGCCATTCTGGGTAAAGTGAGGAAATCTCACATCCCCGTCACATCCACGGGGATGGGAACTGTCCCCTTGTCTGTGTGTTGCCGGCCCTGAGTTTCGCACGCTGGGTCTGCACATGGCCTGTGGAAAAGGCACATCACGAAATGGACATGCATTTTGAAGTGCTCAAACTCAGGGAACATATCTCCTCCATCCACACTTCCACAAGCTTTTTTTTCTTTTTAAATAAATCTGGGTATTTTTAAAGATTTATTTATTTATTTGAAAGGCAGAGTTACAGAGAGACAGAGGCAGGGAGAGCCGTCTTCCACCTGCTGATTCATTCCCCAGATTGTCGCAACGGCTGGAGCTGTGCTGATCTGAAGCCAGGAGCTTTTTCCGGGTCTCCCACACAGGTGCAGGGGCCTAGGCACTTGGGCCATCTTCTACTGCTTTCCCAGGCCATTAGCAGAGAGCTGGATGGGAAGAGGAGCAGCCGGGACTCGAACCAGTGCCCTTATGGGATGCCGGCACTGCAGGTGGTAGCTTTACCAACCACACCAACAACGCCAGCCCCAAGGACTCAAATCTTACCATCACGTGCTCACGAGCATAAAACCCTCCATGAAGACACCAGCTCTGTGCACTGGAAGCAAACCCAGGGTCTTCAGGCATTGAGAAAATTGCTTCGAGGAAGGCACTGCCGAGACAAAGGCAGACAGAGCAGGTGGGCCAGGTGGGCAGTCCCCAAGAGCCCTAAGACAGGACGCACGTGGCCGTCCTGAACCTGGGCATGTGGTGGCCTCAGACCCGGCTCAGCCACAGCGGTGAGGGGGCCATGGAGCCTGCGGGTGCCATGTGGGGGGCGTGGCAGGCGACAGCAGCTGCACCCCCAACACCTGTGGGCATATTGTGTCTGTATGGGAACTCAGCCCTGGGCTCCACCGCCTGATGCCGAGTAAGACAAGCTTGCAACCAAGCAGAAGAGTGAAACCGCAGGGCGGATGCGGCTCCTGGTGCAGATTCACAGTGACGGTCATGAGCGTCGTTGTTCCCGCACGCTTCGATTCTGCGTGAATCAAAAGCAACCATTCTCGGGGTAACGCCATTTTATAGATTCAGGAGTCCCCTTGCTTCTGCTCAGCTATGCTGCAGCTTCAGGACACCTCTCATATGTCACTGTAGCTGGACAGAAGATGTGTAAGTGGCTCCCATCCCTTTGGGGAGACTTGCTGGGTTGTGAAATAGCATGTTGAGTCCTTTCACCTCATCCAGGGTGACCTGGTGAGACAGAATCATCCCCCGTCAGGATCCAAAGGCTGAGCCCTGAGAATCTCTGCCTGCAGAAACATGCACACACACATGTGCACATGCTCACACGCACGTTCAGCACAGGAGCACATGCACACACAAGCACCTATGTTTACACACATGTGCACACATGTGCACACAAGTACACATCTGCATGCATGTACATGCAGGCATGTGTGCACATTCAACACAGGCGCACTTACAGATAAGCACATGTGATTGTGCCTATGCACACAGCTACATGTGCATACATATATGTACATGCAAGCATATGTGCGTGTGCAAGCAAATACGTGTGTGTCTGAATGCACATACAGGCACATGCATGTACACAAAAGCACATGTGCACATGCACATCCCATACAGGAGCACATGCACACACACATGTTTATGCACATGGACTCATACACACACATGAACAAATACACCTTCAACATAGAGGCACAGGCTCACACAAGCACATTTACACACGTGCACATACATTCACATACATGTACATATGTGCACGTGTGCACATTCGACGCATTAGTATAGATGCACAAAAGCACATGTATGCATGTTCAGCACAGAAGCAGATGCACACAGCACATTTATATGCATGCATGTACACATATGTACACATATGTGCATGTGCACATGCTCAGGTGCACATTCAACACATGAGCGCATGCACACACAAGCATGTTTATGCACAGGCACACATGCACATACATGCTCACATGAGCACACACAAACGTGTGCATGCAAACACACACACAGTGAAGAACATTGGCCACTGCCATGTGACCCTCCCCTGAGAGTATGAACGTGCGGACTCTCACGCCCAGGACGGCTTCCCTTCAGCTGTGGTTTGCACATGATTTGTTCCCCCCAAAACTCCAGCAGAGGCTTGGTCCCCCATGGAATGTGGGGCATTGCGGGGAGTGAGGCGTCTGGGCCATGGGGACACTATGAATACCTTTCTCACGTGAGTTCTCCCTCACTTGGGACCAGATCCGTCTCCTGAGACTGTGTGTGAGAAAGCCAGCCTGGAGCCCACGTGCTGCCCGTCTGCCTCCTGCCATGAGCTGAAGCCCCCAGGGCCAGGAGCCATAGTCAGCCCCGTTCCTGACGGGCTGCCCGGCCGAGGGGGCTCTGTGCTTACGAAGTTCTAAGACAGGAAGGATTGTGCAGGTGACTTCCAGGTGCCTCCTCTGATGGCTGGGTTCAACATCCTGGGCGGACCCGACCCAGCCAGGGGAGCCCTTGAAAGGAGAGCCTGGAAGCGAGAGAGGAGCCCCCGAGCCAGGAGCTGCAGGCGACCACTAGGCACTGGCAGCAGCTCCCAGGTGACCGTCGGCACACACGGCGCCTCGGCCCCAACTCTGCCAACAGCCCTGCAACTCTGGGGGGTACAGCGCAGTAGCACCTGGGCTGCAGCCCTCTGAGGCCCTGGGCAGAAAACCCAGCTGTCCTGAGCTGCAACTCCTGACCCAGACACACTTTAAGGCAATGAGAAAGCATTGTGCATGCTGCTAAGTGGTTATGTAATAATTTTTAAAAAGCTACACACAGGGTGCCGGCATTGTGGCACAAGCAGGTTAAGCCGCCGCCTGTGACGCCGGCATCCCATATAAGCATGCTCCACTTCCGATCCACCTCCCTGCTAATGCGCCTGGGGAAGCAGCAGAAGATGGCCCAAGTCCTTAGGAATCTGCCACCATGAGGGAGACCCGGATGGACTTCCAGGCTCCTGGCTCAGCCCCCAGCCATTGTGGCCATTTGGGGAGTGAACCAATGAATGGAAGATATCTCTCTCTCTCTCTCTCTCAACTCTGCCTTTCAAATAAATAATAATTCTTTAAAAAGAAAGAATGAACGAACGAAAGAAAGAAAAGCTACAACACACTCACGCCATCATTCTGCCCTCAGAACCCCAGACCCTTCTTAGTCTAGTTCTCAAATATTCCCGACAGCCAAGGCCCTCTTGCGTGCACTCAGTAACTCGTTCATCTCTTAGTCCTGTGTGGGCTCTGAGCTGGGAGCGCTGACTCATTTACCCACATGGGATTCCCAGAAGGCCAGTCTGGGGGGAGGGGTCAGGGTACTGGACAGCGGAAGCCAGCCCCGAGAAGGGACGTGAAGACAGAAGAAGGAGACGGCGGGGTGAGAACATCCGCAGAGAGAGGACTTGGAACACGGTTGCTGAGCCAATGTCGACAGGCCCTTGCAGGCGGCGATAGGTCTGACCACCAGCGCTGCTAACGGAGCCTCTCCCACCAGCGCGCGTCTTACAGAATGTCCTAGTGGCCATGTCCAGAGGAGACTGGACTGAGTGGGCCCCGGGACAGGTGCAGCTGTCCAGCTAGGCGTTCCCAAGGATTGAGACTGCCGAGCTGGGAGGCAGAGGACATACAGAGTCTGTCCGGGACGGGCAGAGCCCACGCAAGGAGAAGCCAATTCACAAAATCAAAGGAGAGAGGAAGAAGCCCGGAGGGGGGGGGGGAGGTTGTGGGGGGGACCACGAGAAGCTTGTTCTAGAGAGAGAAGAGCACGCCCTTACCCTGCAGTTCTCACCGTTGCCATCACGTCCTCCGCACAGAACCACAGTATCCAGGCGCCCAGCAGGTGCCCCTGCGAGCCCTGCGCATGCGTGCAGGGCGGGAGACGCAGGCCCCACCTTAAAGCAGCAGGTGTGGGGAGCGGCTGGTTGTGCCTGGGCGAGACGGGGACTTTTACTCACAGCAAATCCCCTGCTGAGCGCCCCACGCCTTACCTCTGGCTTACCTCTCGCCGGAAGTCCCGCACACGCACGCGCGCACGCACCGGCTCGCCCACGACCCCTCTGCTGTCAGGGGCCCATCGCTGTGGGAACTGTGCCTCACTAACTCCATTCAGAAGGCCAGAGCCGCTGCAGGTGGGGCTCGTGAGTGAGCCCCTGAGGAGCACCCGGGCCCAGGCAGACGGAGGGGCGGGGCCAGGGAGGCAGGGGAGGGGCGCTCTGGGGAAGCAGGCCGTGGAAGAGACCCAGGGAGGCCCTGGAGCTGCGTCTTGTGCTGTCCAAATCCAGGTCCCATCTCTCTGTCACAGCACAGCGCAACTCACCTGGGTCGGCGTCATCCTCTCCGTCACGTGGCCCTGCCAGATCCATCGCCCGCAGAAAGAACGTGGACCTCACCCCACGTGCAAAGGGTGAGAGAAGGCGCCGAGCCCAGAGGGAGGGCTAAGGAGACAGAGCCCACGGTGGTGTCCACCAGCCTGGAGCCAAGGGAAGGGGGTGACTTGGTCTTGGCGGAAGCAGCAGGACCAACCCAGGCAACACAGCACGCCCTGGAGAGAGACAGAGGAGCACCAGGCTGTGGAGCGAGCGCCTTCTGGGTGCCTGGCTCCAGCTGCACAGACTCTGCTCCCCGGGCGGCTGCTTCCTGGTGCAGCTGCCATTCAAAGTTATCGATTGGGGCTGGCGCTGTGGTGCAGCCGGTTAAAGCCCTGATCTGAACCGCCGGCATCCCATATGGGCACCAGTTCTAGTCCCAGCTGCTCCACTTCTGATCCAGCTCTCTGCTCTGGCCTGGGAAAGCAGTAGAAGATGGCCCAGGTCCTTGGGCCCCTGCACCCACCTGGGAGACCTGGAAGAAGCTCCTGGCTCCTGGCTTTGGATCAGCGCAGCTCTGGCCATTGTGGCCAACTGGGGAGTGAACCAGCAGGTGGAAGACCTCTCTCTCTGTCTCTACCTCTCTCTGTAACTCTGACTTTCAAATAAATAAAATAAATCTTTTTTAAAAAGTTATAGATCTTCTGCTGTGCTGAAAGTCCTGGGAGGTGGCACCTGCAGGTGCTGAGCCAGGAACGAGCGAGAGCCATCTCTGTGGATGTGCTTCAGAAAGTTCATGGGAAATAGAACTACAAGATCAAGTTCACTGGGTGCAGAAACATGAAAGTCACGTGCAGCTTTTCATGACATGCACATTCTGTACATTATTTAAGGAATTATTTTTATTTACTTGAAAGAGTTACAGAGAGAGGCAGAGAGAGAGAGAGGTCTTCCATTCCACTGGTTCGCTCTCCAAATGACCGCAATGGCCAGAGCTGCGCCAATCCAAAGCCAGGAGCCAGGAGCTTCCTCTGGGTCTCCCACGTGGGTGCAGGGGCCCAAGGACTTGGGCCATCTTCTACTGCTATCCCAGGCCATTACAGAGAGCTGGATTGGAAGTGGAGCAGCCGGGACTAGAACTGGCACCCATATGGGATGCCAGCACCGCGGGGTGGGGCTTTAACCCGCTGCGCCACAGCACCGGCCCCTTTGTGAATTTTTGAAGACCGCTTGTGTGCATGGATTTTTGTTTTTTTACACCCAAATAAACATGTCTTTCAATTTCATTTTTCATAAGCTTCTTTTCATTTACCCCATAGGCTCAAGATTGCAGAGACTAACGTGAGGGCTGGAAGGGGGCCCCTGTGGCCAGGCCGCCGTGCCCGGAGCCTCGCCTCGCGGGTGAGACAGGCCGCCTGCGGTCCTGGGAGCCAGAGCATCCTGGGCTTCTCCCAGCTTTGCTGCTGCTGTTACTTCATCCTTGTGCAAGGTCCTAATTGGCAGGAAAGAGGTCATAGCAGGAAACTGAGGACTCCGGAAAGCAAAGGGTTAAATCCTGGAGTGTCAAGATCAAGGGTAGAGGAATTGCTTCTGAGGGCAGCAGTGGGGGGTGGGAGGGGGATCGCAGGGTCTGCTCACGTACCATAAGGGAGGACAGATGTGCCAGCAGGCGCCGAGATGGGCATGGGGCCGTCACTCTGTGAGAAAGAGGTGGCTGCCCAGCACAGCCCCGTGTGCAGTGGACCGTGGAGGCCACACACTGGCCATGGAACCAAGTACATGATCCTCTTGCCTTCTTAGTCAGCGGCGACCCCGGGCAGAGCAGCCGGCCCCACTGAGTCGCGGTGGGGCACTGGCAGAGGGTCAAGGGGGAGAGGTCCAGCCAGGGCTGAGTGACCTTGAGAAGACCTTTGCGGGAAGAGCGGCGTGTTGCAATGCGTGTTGCAACGGGAACAGGCAGAACCCTTCCGAAACCAGGCATCTGACCAGGCACTTTTGAAGCCCTGCGAGACAGCTCTCCTGGAAGCTTTGTGGAAAGACCTCATCTCGCACCCCAGCCGTCTCAACACAGAGCAGATAAATGCTACACGGACAAGCTTCCAAGGTAACCGCAGCAACAGGAAAATAAAGCCAGGGGGTGGGGGGAGGGGAAGGGAGGGGTCAGCTAAGAAGACAGACGTGTCCAACACCTCCAGGCAGTGTGCGAGCGGTGCTGTCCCTCCAGGGTGCACAGTGAGGTCCTTCGGGGCTCTGCCTCCCTGGAACCCTCTCCTTCCACAAGTCTCTCTTTACAGCAGCTGGGTCTCCATAGTTCGGCCATGACCTTGTGGGGCCTGACCCCCCAAATCCCAGCAGTCTGGGCTTTGCCTCCCCTTGCTCTGTGTGCATCCTCCTGCGACACACAGTGCAAACCAGAAACATTCAATTCCCTGCGAGAGTGTTCAGAGAGGAGGCGAGATCCACACGGAAGCTGCACAGAAATTTAAAAAAAAAAAAAAAAGTGAGCAGACAACACAGGGAATGGTGTGACACAGTGTGCTCTGTGTTAGGCTGCTTTGAAGTGTCCAGATGCACAGCCAGCCAGGGGCTGACAGCAGGGGCACACGGGGGCCGGGGACAGGCAGAAAGCAAGGATGAGAAAGAGACGGCCCATTCGGTCCTTGTCGCCAAGTATTCCCTCGTCTGAATGACCCTCTCGGCCCAAAGTACTATCTTTAAAAAGATGGGCTTTTAAAAAATAAATAAATGATCGAATCTGTCGCTGTGGCAAATAGTATGGCAGGTCCTCAAAGCATGAAATGCAGGGGGTGGCGCTGTGGCGTAGCTGGTGAAGCCGCCTTTTACAGCGCCAGAATCCCATGTCGGTGCCAGTTCGAATCCGGGCTGCTCCACTTCCCATCCAGTTCCACTTCCAATCCAAAAAGCCTGGGAAGACATCAAAGGATGATCCCAGTGCTTGGGCCCCTGCACCCATGTGGGAGACCCGAAGGAAGCTCCTGGCTCCTGGCTTTTGTCCAGCCTAGCCCTGGTCATTGTGGCCATTTGGAGAATGACCAGTGGATGGAAGATCTCTCTCTTTCTTTCTTTCTCTTTCTCTTTCTTTCTCTCTCTCTCTCTTTCTTTCTCTTTCTCTTTCTTTCTCTCTCTCTCTTCCTCCAATTCTTCTGACTTTCAAATAAAATAAATAAATCTTTAAAAAAAGAAAACCACTAAATGCAGAATTTGCACTGGAAATTCCAGCTCTGGTTTTGACACCAAAGCAATGACAGCAGCACTGGCTGTCGGGCGGGCACTCACGTTGGTATCCACAGCACCTATGCCGGGACAAAGGGCGGGGGGCGGGGGCACGTGGCTCCACAAGCCACCTGGATTTAGGCTCAGCCAATCGTGAAGGTCTGTGTATTCCACCAGAATTTTAAAAACTCCACTTTAAAGTTTCAAATGCAGCCGGCGCCGCGGCTCACTAGGCTAATCCTCCGCCTGCAGTGCCGGCACACCAGGTTCTATCCCGGTCGGGGCGCTGGATTCTGTCCCAGTTGCCCCTCTTCCAGGCCAGCTCTCTGCTGTGGCCCGGGAGTGCAGTGGAGGATGGCCCAAGTGCTTGGGCCCTGCACCCCATGGGAGACCAGGATAAGTACCTGGCTCCTGCCTTCGGATCAGCACGGTGCGCTGGCCGCAGTGCCGCTGGCCGCAGCGGCCATTGGGGGGTGAACCAATGGAAAAGGAAGACCTTTCTCTCTGTCTCTGTCTCTCTCTCACTGTCCACTCTGCCTGTCAAAAAAAAAAAAAAAAGTTTCAGATGCTTCCTTCTCCCTTCCCTACTACCACCAGCGGGGCTTCTCTGTCCCACACGGTGTCTGGCATCCTGGGTGAGGTGGGGGGAGGGGTGCAGCCCACAGAGCAGCCAGGAGCGCAGCTGCAGGCCCCCAGCGCGAGCCTTTGTAGGCGTCCTGGGCCCAGGCTGTGCAACCAGGGCTTCCCGCAGACCCTCATCCTGCCCTGTCCTCAAACGGTCAGGGTGTGTCCGAGGGTCCTGGCCCTGCGTTTCTGGGGTTCCTCCGAATCCATGGGTGAACCCCATCCCCCCACATCCTGCACCCCAACAAGGGAGGAGAGCCCCTGCCCAGTTCCGGGACCCCGCTCTGCCCCTCTGACTTCCATCCCCTTCCTGGCCCCGCATGGCATCCACACGGCACCCCCACCCCACGCACCGTCGGCACCCAACTCCAGGCTCAGTCCCCTCCATCCTGTTCTTGTCACAGGCCTTGGTGCCCTCCCTTGAACACACCCTCGGGGGACCTGCCCCACCCACCCGTGCTTCCTGCTTCCCCCAGCAGACAGGGGGAGAGGGGGAGCGGATGCCCACGCGCTGCCCTACCTGCTACCCCTACGCATCTCAGCCCTCGCCTCCGACTGCACCTGGGACCCTGCAGCGGCCCCCCAGGAAGGGGGCCCTGGACAGACCCAGCCCCTTGACCTCGGACCTTCCCGACTCCAAAATCTTGAACTCGATCCATCTTCATTCCCCATAAATCACCCGGTCTGTGTGATGTCCGGCACTAGCAACAGAAAACGGACGCAGATGCTGCCTCCGGGGTGCGGCTATTTCGTCCCCAGAACGCCTTCTCCTTCTCCTACAGCTCCTGTCTGCTACATGCCCACACTTGGGATTGAGCAAAGCCCCAGCCCCTAAACACCCCTCTGAGCTCACTGGATGAAACGGAAACATGGAGAAGAACCACCCATGGCCAGGCAGCCCGAGTCCACAGCCCGTTCTCCAGCCAGTGGGACAGCGAGGGAGGAGGAGGCTCAAGGTCTGTGTGTGTGAATGACTGTGGGCGCACAGTGTGGCATCACTCAGGAGGCTGGCCCAGGGCCCTCGTATTAAGAACCCAGCAGCCACACTCCCGCTATACCTAGCAAGACCTTGCCAAACAGTGAGTCATTTACACACCAGAGTGCAGTGAAGGGCCGGCGCTGTGGCGTAGTGGAGTAAAGCCCTGGCCTGCAGCACCCGCATCCCATACGGGCGCCGGGTCAAGTCCTGGCTGCTCCTCTTCCAATAGAGCTCTCTGCTGTGGCCTGGGAAAGCAGTGGAGCACGGCCCGAGTGCTTGCGCCCCTGCACCCACGTGGGAGACCCGGAAGAAGCTCCTGCCTCCTGGCTTTGGATCAGTGCAGCTCCAGTCATTGCAGCCAACTGGGGAGTGAAACAGTGGGTAGAAGACCTCTCTCTCTCTCTCTGCCTCTACTTCTCTCTGTAACTCTGTCTTCCAAATAAATAAAATAAATCTTAAAAAAAAAAAAAGAATCCGATGTTTTGAATTCTTCAAAGCCAGAGACAATCTCTTATCTGAACTTAAAGCCACAGTGTCTAGCTTGTGCATATAGTAGGTGCTTAATCAGTATTTGTTGGAATAAAAACATGAGAAATTTTGAAAAAAAATCCTTGTGATTTTCTGTATATGTTTTCTGCATATGATACATACATGGAAGTATATGCACAATGTGCATGCATACATGTACAACACACACATGTCTTTGTGTGTGTTGATTTGTCAGTACTCTTTTTTTGCAATCAAATTCTCCCTGGGACATACAAATTTGCCTGGTGAAGACCTCCCAAATCAGCAGGACATCAGGTCTGGGGAAAGAAATATAACTGGTGGAGCTGGCGCTGTGGCATAGCAGGTAAGGCCCCCACCTGCAGTGCCGACATCCCATATGGGCACCGGTTCAACTCCCGGCTGCTCCACTTCTGATCCAGCTCTCTGCTATGGCCTGGGAAAGCAGTAGAAGATGGCCCAAGTCCTTGGGCCCCTGCACCCGCGTGGGAAACCTGGAAGATGCACCTGGCTCCTGGCTTCGGATCAGCTCAGCTCCAGCCATTGTGGCCAATTGGGGAGTGAACCAGTGGACAGAAGACCTTTCTCTCTCTCTCCCTCTGTCTGTAACTCTACCTCTCAAATAAATAAATAGGCCGGCGCTGTGGCTCAATAGGCTAATCCTCCCCCTGCGGCGCCGGCCCCTGAGTTCTAGTCCTGATCAGGGCACCGGATTCTGTCCTGGCTGCTCCTCTTCCAGTCCGGCTCTCTGCTGTGGCCCGGGAGTGCAGTGGAGGATGGCCCAAGTGCTTGGGCCCTGCACCCCATGGGAGACCAGGAGAAGCACCTGGCTCCTGGCTTCGGATCAGCGCGGTGCACCAGCCGCGGTGGCCATTGGAGGGTGAACCAATGGCAAAAAGGAAGACCTTTCTCTCTGTCTCTCTCTCTCACTGTCCACTCTGCCTGTCAAAAATAAATAAATAAATAAAATCTTTTTTTAAAAAAGTACACATTAAGGCACTGGTTTTGGAAAGATCCTAGTGAGCTATTGCAGAGAATCCACACAGGAGCACACCAACCAAACGCGGTGCTAGTGGGAGAGGACTGCCTGTGCGTGAAGCGGCCGTCCCTGGCACTGCAGCTCCAAGAGCGGGCCATAGACAGAGGCAGGGGATCCCGCCCAGCCCATTCTGTAGAGGGCACAGGCCGCCAGCATCGCTTGTCTATGAAATACAGATTCCCCATAAAGCAGTTTTATTAGCACATTCAGGAAAAGCTCGACTGTAAGCCAAACGCATTGAAACGGTTTTATCTCAAGCCAGGGATTAGACTGAGCATCAGACATCAGTTGTTTGCACAAGCACTTAAAAAGAAATCGCCCGGGATATACGGAGCAAGCCAGACTTGAGTGACTCCCCTGGGATTCGGAAGTCCCATCTGTCCCGGCGTAGAACCCTCCTCGGTGTGTCCGTATTTGCCCATCTCACACCAGAAGCGTTGGCAGCTGCCCCCAGTGACTGCAGCAGAAAGACTCACCCAGCCAGGAGACCTTGTCCCACAGGAATGGGAGGGACATGCATTTCTGGACAATGCGCGGCAGAAAACCAGGCAGAGGAAGGTCAAGGACATCGTATTAACAGGTACAGTGGGGTGAGGTCACTGACCACAGAGGACTCCGCCCGGGAGCCACAGTGTGTGTTGCAAAGACTTGCTTCTGGCAGCGGGCAGGTGGAGGAGTGCGTGGTGAGAAACAGAGGCAGGGGCAGAGGGGGCAGAGCTCAGCCCCTGCCCCCACCCCCAGGGGCTCCAGTCAGTGCTGGCTCCCCGGAGCACCGAGGAGGGAGTCCCGCCTGGGCACAGGAGCTCCAGAGAGCACAGGACCCCCCAGGGCAGGAAGGCACAGGTCTTCTTCAAATCTTGCCCAGAGCTGGGAGGCAGCGGCTGCAGGCAGCTCCCATGCACGGCCCCAGGGCTCAGGGTCCCAACTCTCTCCCCTTGCCAAACACTGCTCATCCTCAACAATTTCTTCTCCCATTGCGAGCGAGCTCTCTCTCTCTCTCTCTCTCTCTCTCGATTTCAGCACCCAAACAAGTTCATGTCGGTCCCATCTTAACTGGCAGCTGACTCCCCCGCCCCCGTGCTGGTCCCCACCCAGACCCCTACTCTGAGTGGGGTCTCCTCAACATTCGCCATCGAGTGTCCCGGAGGCCCTACTTCCAAGACAGGCAAAGCTGGACTCCAGCCCTCCGTGCCCCATGGGGGAGGCACCCTGGGACAGTTGCAGAGGGCTTCAGAGGAGGACCAGGTGGCCCGGAAGTGCTCCCCAGCCCCACAGCCGGAGCCCCACCCAAAGCACCCGTGCCCCGCAGGGCTCTTCGTTGGAGCCCCACCCAAAGCACCCGTGCCCCGCAGGGCTCTTCGTTGGAGCCCCACCCAAAGCACCCGTGCCCCGCAGGGCTCTTCGTTGGAGCCCCACCCAAAGCACCCGTGCCCCGCAGGGCTCTTCGTTGGAGCCCCACCCAAAGCACCCGTGCCCCGCAGGGCTCTTC